TCCCTGGTGTGAAGACCTCTCACTGGGAAGTTTAGTTCACTACTGTTCTCGCAAACCTAATCGTATAACCTGTAACCAAAACGCACAGAAGAAGGATACAACACGCTAAATAGAGTAACTTCTAATCACTGAATGTTAGCACCATTACCAGCTGTTAAGGATTAGATGCGAGCTGGCTAGAGAGAGGACACCTATACATAACTGTATATATGTAAATATATGGGTGTGTTATACGTAATTAATCTCTCATCTCCCGAGCTTCAAAATGTTTGACACATATTGTTAGTGCATTGCTCCATACACGCCTGAAATGCCCCAAAAGCAAGGTATCAGTGGATGGTTAGGTTGCTTTGCACGCAAAGCTCACTTCAATTGCTCAGGGAACGGGAAACAAATAAGCCTATACCCACCAGGGCAAATAGATGTGCACTTGATTGCATTTAATGTGCCATTATGGGATGATAAAACGAAGTGCTCTGACTCGTGTTATGGAAGCATGATGTCATCGAAGCTTGGTTATTAAATACCCTTTATTAACGGCGGAAGAAACACTGAATCATATTTAAGGTGTCATTACATTTGACCAGCGTGTGTGACTCTTGCTCTATGGTATCTCTTACCTTCTTCTGAAAACAAACAGAACACCATGAAAAAGAGCACAACGTAAGCATCTGAAGATTACCTGGATTCGTTCAGGTTGCCGGTGGGTACGATTTGACTTAGTTCTTTCAAATAAATCAAGAATAAAGAAAAATGGCCAAAAATACACCAATAATCGAAGCACTCTCTGGAAAGGACTGGGTCGCGAAATTTCAGATCGAATCCTTAGTCCAGTCTTTCTGCGGGTTCTCATTCTATGCCATATCAAACTGTTCCAGTTCTTAAAGCAAGGGAGTAGGGACACCAGGTGAATATACACCAACAATGAGCGTGAACTGCTGGAAGGAAACGCAAGTCACACAAAGAGCGGAGTAACATTCTTTGCGCCTGTTCTTCGCGTTTGTAGTTCTTGGCTTACCTACAAACTCCTCTTCCCAGGCATTGCACCTGGGCTTACACGTCCCTTTTAAGTAACCTCAGAATAACTCCTAATGTCGCCATAGTCTCGGGGTCAAATCATCCATTCGGTTGTGATCTAGGCAAAGCTGCCACTGAAACGAATGGGAACTCTGTCTGAGTCAGGTCTGAGAGAGAAGAGTGTAGGCTTTGGCCATTAGACCAGCACATTCTGCGTTTCCAAAGTAAATATCTATATGTACAGTTCTATAAACTGAGAATTTTCTACGGAGGAAAAAATTAGACAGGCCTGGACGTTAACATCCGTCAGAGATCGTAATGGATGCGGTTTCTATTACATATCCTCCCGTGTCCTGTAAACAATGAATGAAACCCTCACGGCCGTAGAAAGATACGTCTTACAATTTGAAAGAAGAATTTCCTTTTTAGGGAGAATTGTATACCCTCAGTATTAAAAAAATATATTAAGAAATCCTAAATTTGGGTACAATGCTTTATTCTGCAGCCATGACAAATGGCTGGACACTAAATTTAGATTATTAGGCATTTTAAAGGCACGTTTCTCTCGTTATTAAACCCTTGTTCAGAAATGCAATATGACGAAGTGTTTATTTTTCCCGTGCTACATTTTCATCCTCGATCACAGAGCAATGTAAACGCAGCTTTGACCTAAGGAACCCCTCAGAGCATTAAAATTTCAACAGGCGATGTCAGTGTTACATTAAACGAGATCTCTTCCAGTATGCTGCAGAGCAGGGATTTGAATAAAACGTTCAATGTTAACAAACAATACACACGTTTGGCACTTTGTGTATTAAATGGATCAAAGAGATTTGATAAGGCACAATGCACCATTTACACAGACCTGATTGAGTTAATATAATATCAGCAAATTTTACAGCGAAATGAATCTGTTTCTTTTCTTTGTGTTTAAAACCAGCACAGATTACAAATTTTAATGATCTGAAAATGTTTGGTATACAAAATCATGCTTATTTCAGTATTAGCAAAAACACAAGAAATTTTTCAACACAAACACCCAGCTGTGTCTATTTTAAAAGCAGTTCAATGACAGCTTGCACTTATGAGCATGCAATCAGCTAATTTCGCTTTTTTTTCTTCTGTGTTAATCAACACTTTCCTTCCTGCATATCAGAGTACAAATAGTATAGTTACTCCACATCAGTAAATGTTTACGTAACCTGTCCTTTCTCGAGAATCCGGTTACATCGAATCATTACATGCTAGACCGAGTAAGAAAACGCAGTGGGCCCAACCACCCAAAAGGGATCCCGTACACCATAATCATACATATTAAATGTACAGCATCATTATCATATGCACAGATCTTACCTTTCCTCTTACCCCGTCCTATCAGAGGATCATGCCATAGGCCACACTACAAGTTTTCTGAAGAATTCCAGTACAGTGTTGTGCATTGACATGGATTATCATTCAAAATGGTTAAAAATACGGAAAACATCTCTTTTTTAAAAAAGTTTGATCATTGACTTCTATCTTTTTTGTCAGTAGCGACCTGTTACGAAATAGGATAAATAAATACAATTGTGGTAAGGTCATTCGAGGTTAATCCAATGCACAGAGTTCATGCCATCCCCAGTTGCAATCGTTTATTATTGGCCAATTGTAATTGTTCTTCTCAACCTCACCCCTCCCCATGTACTCGTTGCTGAGTTCTAATCTGAGTTTCCGTAGGTTGAATAACATTATATATTAGAATTGAGTTTTCCACATATTTTCTCCTGCATCGCTCTCCCCCTCCCCCTTCACCCGTTATAATCCTACAGAAGAAGCACCAGTGGAAGGTGTTTATGCAGCGACAGAGAAAGTAAAAATGTCTGTTGCCCTTTTTTACTGCTTTGTTTTAATGTGATCCATATGTTTTCCCTGGGCGATATTTTGCTCTTCTGCTCCCTCAGTAAAAAGCCTGTGTGTGTGAAACCTCGAGTAAAGAAGGATTTGAGCTGGATGATTAACACTGAATTCCTGTCCCCAGGACATCTTAGCCGTAAGATCGCCCCTTTCCCCTCGTATTTATTTAAAGAAGGATAGTAGGAAAGGAGCGCTACAAGATTATTTTATTTAACCCAGCAGCACTCACCTCATTATCTCCCCAGCCCCCTCCCTCAAACAAGAACAGCAGTACCACAACAGCACGGATCGCACCGAAAAAAAAGGGGGGGGGGAACAAATTGCAACAAATAGTGAGCGGGTTGTTTATAGGGCTGTTTTATGTACACATATCTGCACATGGCCTACTTTTCCCGAACTGAAAACAAAACGCGGTGAAAAGAAGAGCAACGGAAAAAAATAACAAGACGCGTTGTTTATTGCTGTTCAAAACAAACCCCTCCAGGAAGGAGCATTTACCGTGGAGAAAGAGTGGCGAGGAACATTTCCGATTGCAAGGGAAACTTTAAAGTGGCAATGAGGCGCAGAGAATGAAATTAAGAAGAGAGGCGGTTACAGGCAAAGCCTTACAACGTGCATTATTTTCACCCCGATCGCTCTCTCTCACACACACACATAAACACACGCGCGCACACTCCTTGTTTCTATCTCCTCCCTCCCCCAACCCGGTCACTCACACAGTTCGGAGATTAACACACAAGAGAGTAAAGGCCCAAACGGCTGGCACTGCCAAGTGCACTGTAATGGGGTGGAAGCAGCTGCCGCTGGATTCTTCCCCGAAAGGCCGATGTGCAGGACCCCGAGTGGCCGGGGAACGAGATCACGTTCTACCCCTGCAGGACGGACACGCAAGGTGGGTTGTAAGTAAACCCCCCCCCACCCCACACCAAAAAAAGAAAGAAACAGCTCGAAGCGGCAGTAAACCAATAGGGCAAAACAAACCCGGGAGGGGGAGGGGGGGACAAACCCTCCCAAAACATTTTTTAATCAAGCTCCAAAAATATTTCTCCCTTCAAATTGATGCTTGAAAAAGTACAAAAAAAAAATCAACACAAGGGGCCTAAAAGGAAAGGATACGCTGCGCCCGCCGGTAGACAGCGCTGGGGTAAGCAAAGTAGTACCTCTCCTGTACCAGCACCACCACCATTGCCTTCGCATCCCTCACTCCTCCCTCCCCGGCCCCTGCACCGACCTCTCGCCTCCCAGCCTGAAAAAGGTAGAAGCAAACTTTAATCGCGTGGAAAACACGGAGGCAATAAAACTAACACGATCCCATACAGTGGGCTGGGGAGAGGCTGGTTTTAAGAGGAGGGGAGCGTGGGGCGGCAGAGGCATGAGAACGGTGCGCTTCCGCGGCGATGCGCCCTTCCCTGCGATCCCTGCGCGGTTCGGGGGCTCGGCGGTGCTGGGGAGAGGGGGGACAGGAGGAGGAGGAGAGGGAAGGGGTTAGGGAAGAGGAGAAGGGGAGTCCTGATTGGCTGGCGGCGGGAGAGACGCTCCTGCACGCCGAGTGCTCTGATTGGGCGGCCGGTGGAAAAGGTTAAACCAAAAATTTTTTTACAGCCCTAGCGTGCGTCTGTAGCTCTGAAATTAATTGTGGCCAACGCTGCCTCTATCGCTGCCTCTGCCGCTCTCCGCCGCCGACCCGCCCCGCCGCCCGCGTCC